CCTCCTGCCCCGCATGGGATTGCAAACACCGGGATCGAAATCACCACCCGTTTGTCCAGCGATTTTCTAATTCGAAACATCTTTAAATTCGCCAATCCCTCGGCACATCTCTTATTCACCCCTTCCAGTGCTCCGAGTAAGATATATGTCAAGAACAAAGTGACCAAACATATATACGGAGCTATATAATACACCTTCATCGGCATTTTCCCGTACAGCTTCATCGTAACGTAAATGAAGCCTGACAAAACTGTCGATATAATCGACAGTGTCCCTAGCACCATGTACATTACGAAGTCCTTCGCAATCTTACCAGTCAGATGCAGCTGCCTGTAATTCTTCACCACATTGGTAAATTGTATATCGCTCTTTGCTGGATATTTTGTCAACAGGTTTGCAATTCTTTCCCAAGAAAATACAATCGTTGTTAGGAAGGCGATAAATATTGAAGCTATTTGACCGAATTCTACAGATGATATCGCCATACCAAAGAAGCTGAGAAACCGAGCAATCCAGCGAATCCAATCATGGTTCTTGAGATATGGTCCGTACCATTGATCGAGAAGGAAACCATGGGGGCACAAGTTTAGATATACGCACTCTAAACAAAGTTGAGCAAAGCTGGTTGAGTAAAATGAAGTTGACCAAATTTTGTTCAACGTTGGACAAAATTTATGCTTTTAATGCGTAAAATTTACACAATAAAGTTGTGTAAAGTTAGTTTTACTCAACATTGAACAAAATTTGACTTTTTTGCTGATCAAATATAAAATTAATCAATGTTGGACGAAAAATGAACAAGTTGATTAATTTTTACTCAACGCGTTGTGTAAAATCAACTCTGCCTATTTATCAGCCCCACGGATGTTGTCAGTTGGTACAGCAAGTTAAAAAAGAAGCAGCAGTAAATTTTCTCCTCATCAGCCAAGGTTTAAAATGACCCAACGACTTGGAAAATCTTCTAAAATTACCGGTTGAGTTCAATGTGCAGATATTTTAAAAGGTAAGGTGATTTTTATTTATTTTTTTTGCACATTTAGTCGTATTTTCTAATAGTATAAATTAAAATATTTATTTGTGCTTATTTTTGTGCAGAGAACGATGACGACGACAGTTTTTTTAAATTGCTGGACGGTGCCGCTGGTTCACCAGAAGAACATTTGGTTGCTGAAATAATTTCATCACTTGGCCACATATTTAAATTAATGACAACCAGAGAGGTTAGTAAATAGATAAGGTTTTCGTCAGATTATCTCCAAAAATATTGATTGTAATTAGTATTTGTGTAAGTAATATCCACGTATTTTATGAAAATTAATTGTTTTGTACTTATGTAGAATTTACAAAATGTAAAACGAGTACAATTACAATAAATAATGAATTTTAATAAGGTAAAGAATGTATTTTAATCAGCATAAAAAGCAACCTTTGATCAACCAAAGAGTAAACTTTGACCATTCATTGATCAATTTTTAACTGCTAGTTGTGTAAAAATTCCACAGCATGTTGAGTAAAAATTGCACAACGTGTTGAGTAAAAATTCCACAACTTGTTGAGCAAAAATTACTCAACCTGGTTGAGTAAACTTTAACCAACGGTTGTGTCATCCTCTTTTTTACCCAACCTTGGACAAAATTTTACACAACCTTGTAGAAATTTTCTACAACTTTCTTTAGAGTGCGCCAAGTCCAGCTTTAACAAAAGCAAGGGGGACAAGTATACGGGTTTGGAGTTTCAAGATGAGAATTAACTTTTTGTAACGGGGCACGCTGTCCAGTACTTGTGGGGGCGTGAAATTTATGGAAAACTTTAATTCCAGACAGTGCTCTGATTACATATCGTCCTACTAATTCTAGAAAGACCGAAGTGCAGTCGGTAGTTAATTTTAAAAAGACCGAAGTGCAGTCGATGATTAATTTTAAAAAGACCGAACTACAGAAAAAAATTCTAAAAAGACCTAAGTGCAAGCATATATTTACTTATGGCTAAATCGCGCGATATATGAACAATCGTTTTGGCAATATATAGCCATAAGTAAATACATGCTTGCACTTAGGTCTTTTTAGAATTTTTTTCTGTAGTTCGGTCTTTTTAAAATTAATCATCGACTGCACTTCGGTCTTTTTAAAATTAACTTTCGACTGCACTTCAGTCTTTTTAGAATTAGTACGATATGTAACTGTAATAATTTTCAGATTTTCCTGTGTAAATATGAATCAAAATCGAAAAATTCCTCAATATCTTACCTTGAAGAACTCGACGTTCCAATGTTACCAAGTTCTCTATCAAATTTGCTACTTGTGACGCGCTGTGGGCTGTGTTCAGCACGAAGCCAATCAACGCACCCATCACGCAGCCAAGCAATGGAAGAAATTCTAATCCAGGCAGAATTTTGACCCGAAGTAACTTCTCTCGCCAGGATGACAATGGTGAAACCACCATTTAATATGATGAGGACGAAGAATATGTTAAACCAGTACAATTTACACGACGTGGCACGATACATGGTAAATCGCTCAGTATTTGTATTCCAAGAGATGGGGTGTTGCTCGAAGAAACGGGTGTCAAAAGTGGCAGAATAAGTTTCCAAGAGTTGGGTCGAGAGGAGGGGGATGATTTCAGGCACAGGCTTCTTCTTCAACATTATGCGTTTGGGAAAAATTATTTGCATTAAAATAATTTCTGGAATCGAGACAAAAATTGGACCTGACACACGACAGTAAATAGTGAATTGAGGTTTCGCACCCCGTGAATTCCAAATGTGAATGCAGATTGGGTAGATGGAAATCTTACGAAATAATCACTGCCAGCTTAAAATCAAAACACCCTTAAACTAATTTAGCATCTAAATAAACGACAAAAGTGAGATTAAAAAGTTTCTATAAATTTCCAAAGTCTGTATCAAGCGCTTGTATCACTTACAATTTGTGTCAGTTGGGTTTGCCTTGTGGTATGGTTGAATACTGTGGACGTCTCGTATTGCATTTTTTCCTACTTCACTTTACCAATTATCACTTGCTGCACTCTTAGAAATGGGGTTACGGTTATAACCAAAAAGTAAACGTGACTCTACCGCCGTGGTTATGAATTTGTCACCAACTGGTTATAAATTTATTAGCTCTGGTGGGAATTTAATGCCAAGTCGGTGAAACTTTATAATCAGTCGGTGACCACTCGATGACAAATTTATAACCGCGGCGGTAGAGTCACATACGTTTACTTTTTGGTTATAATCGTAACCCCATTTCTTAGAGTGTGTGCATTATTGAGTAGGATTGTCTACGTGCTTGTGATCCGGTCTCGTATTAGGTTCATGTATAATATTACAGGATTTGCACGATTTTTAAGCCATTTTTTATAACTTTCGGCTTATGACTTTGAGTGGTAAAATATTTAGGGCAAATTCGCTATTTAATACCAATCGATCTCAAAACTGACAATGCGATGGTGTAAACTGTAACCCTCCGAATTGGTTGAAATCTTGGAATTGGCATCCCAAGTCAAAACAACCAACGTTTCTGCCATGGTTGGAATTTGTCAATATATTTTAGTCAAATATGAGATCTAATTTGAGGTCAAATTTGAAACATGGGCAAGTTTTTTTTTCTGTCGAAGGCAGCTATCTTCATCTGCTTAGTAACAATCGCCCATTTTTTCATCTTTGACCTCAAACATTCTGAAAAATTCCAACCATCGGACAAATTGCCTAACGAAACGTTGGTTGTTTTGCCCTGGGCTCCAAATTCGAACATTTCAACGAATTCGGAAGGTTACACCTTGCACCATCGCATTGTAAGTTAATAATGATTAAGTCAACATGACACAACATGATTAACTCAGCATTCTGAAGGAAATCAATGCTTCCTTATCGATTTTTCCTTATAGATTTAAATTAAGCTTATTAAAATGCTACATATCTGGATAAATTTAAGAATTTCATTAAATATACACATGTACATATGCGCACTGGTGAAGAGCTGTTGAATGCAAATGTCCTGCATGGGCTAGAAATCAAAGACCTGGCAGATTCTTTAAATAAATAAGGCGGAACTGTGTGGCAAGAGATTGAGAATGGTTGACTAATATTGTGTACATATGCATGAAATATACATATCCACGTGGCTCCAACATAAACACAAAAACTAAATACATGTATGTACATACAATCTATACATACTACTCAATGTAAGGTTTAAATACGCGACAGAAAATTCCTCAGCCGAAATCGCATATGTGGTTAAGCTTCTCCGTGTATGTATTTTACCCATTGGGGATAAATTATTACTGAAGCGGTAGAATTGCGTGGTACCTCCACCAGTAACAATGATGATATCACAAATTTATGAGTGTTTACGTTTTAAAAATACATAAACTTGCGAAAGGTTTTTTGATGAAATGTTTAGTTTTTGCTCTGACAGAATACTTCGATCAGACTAAATTCATGAAAAAAGCGAAACTAACAACTCATGAACATTTTAAACAAGTTTGTATATTTTCCCTGAAAATCTGAACTTGTCTTAACAAGTGCCTAACATAATTGTTAAATAATGCTTACGTATGATGAAATTGGCTCATGTAAAATTCTGTCCACGCAGGTAAAAATCTGGCAGGTATTGAACTCTCGGTATTAAAGTTGGTACTACTTGGTATTAAAATTATACATGTCCGTAAGCATTTGCCACCGCTCTGGTAGTATTTCAATACCGAGCTATAAGTAGTACCACCTACATATGTACGTATGTATAGGTAGAATCACATAAATATTAATACTGCTTGATATTGTTTTAATACTGGATTTCTAAGGTACATATTTAACTTGGGGAGCTTAAGGTATTTTTACATATATAGCTTAGCATATGTACATAATTGTCATATGGAAAATATTTGAAATTTCATAAAATAATTTCTGAGGTACATACATTTCTGCATTTAAGTTTCCGATTTTCATTTTCATACGCGTCATGTTACACGATGAACAAAGCGAACAAAGTGAAAGTCCAGTCGACGAGTATGTAGAAGGCGGGCATCGATTCAGCCGACAGTTTGAAAACAAGAAAGAAAAATAAAATAACAATTCATAATTTTCCGTCATGCGTTAGTTTCATGTCGTTTAAATATTTGCAAACGCCACAAAATTGTCGTCGCTTTTGTAAAATACATTCCATGAAAAGGTACGGAAATCTGCAAAATAATTGATAACCAGGTTAAAATATTACGATTTACATACTTTTACATAATTCATAATTACTTACTCCTTCAGTTATTCATCTCCGTCGTCATGTCCCCGACCGAATAAATGTAACGCTAAAGAAAATTGTAAACAAAGTTCAGGTACGAGCATTTACTTATTTATCTCAATATTTAAAATAATGTTGAACCATTTACACATTTAATTGTTTTGTTAATCAGGTTCATCCTCAGTTTTCTACCAATGTGACAAATGTGACTCGTTTTTTTATTCGAAACCTCTCGTCGTGACACATCTTTCGAAAACGGGTCATGGAAAGTTAGCACAAAAATTCATCAAAATGAAATAATTTTATTAAATGGTCTTGGATAATTTTAACTTTTCACCTAATTACTGCAGACAGGAGGACGAATCAAATTCTGTGGGTTGGAGGACCGTCCCATTTCCGACCCCGATTTTAAAACTGGACCGGACGACAGACGAGATCGTCGAGGTCACAGATGACCCTCCACAATTCGCGCCGCCGCCCTTCGTCCCGGTCAAAATGGCCAAGTTTAAATTTAAAACTATCTCCAACCTTGCCGACCCCTTGGGTGAAATAGATTCCGGTAATTCACCCTAAAATTGTGGAAACTTTGTGGCTTAATTTTGTAAACTTTTTTAAGACATGGTAGATATTTGTCATTTTATGCGAATAATGTCATAATTTTAAAACGGAGAATATATTTTGTACTTCACATTTTCTCAGAACATCCAGGCGAAATCCTGGACGACTCGGACGAATCTACACCTCCCTCATCCCCCGAAATCGTACAAGAAAATTCCGAACTTCGCCCGACCTGCGAAAAATGCAAACTCTCTTTTTCAAGTCTTCATGCACTCCAAACGCACCAGTTCCTCATTACGAAGTGGGTCGCTTTTTAAATAATCACCACACTCTTAATAATAATATTACCCTTTTGAAAAGTAAATGCACTCTAACTTTGCAAATTAAGTAAACTCTACCAAATCCAAGGTAACGGGAACTTTATAACGAGCATAGTTTACTCTGGATTTGGTATAGTTTACTTACATAACACAGATTTTTTAAAAAAAGTGACCTTATTTTTAAGAGTGTACTACATGTTTTCATTTTTAGCTGTGCTAGCAGGGCAGCTGAGCTGGCCAGATTACGGTACGTGTAATTTATTATGTAAATCCGCGTGAAACCAAGAATGTGTCTTGCTCTCCTGTTTAATGGAAAAAAAGATTGTCCCCGCAGGCGACGCCGGAACGGACCACCTAAACCTCGTCGCTGTCGGGTTTGTGGCATTATGTGCCGATCTCATGCGCACTACGACCGGCATGCCAAAACCCACCGTGAGAGGAGTTTAGGAGCCTTGACCTGTGACACGTGTGGGGCCTCATTTTGTAACAATTTTTCACTAGAAAGACACCAAATAAGGGGAAGGTATTTATATAAAAACTTAATTAAATACTTAATTCTTTGAATGATTACGTACCCAATTTATGTAATTTGCATACATCAATTGCAAATTCCTCAGTTGCACCACACCCAAACTTGGAAAAGAGTGTCGCAAGTGCGGACGCACATTTACGCAAAGTGGGTCCTTAAAACGACACTTGGAAAATGACAGGTATTTATTTAATTACTATTTTAATTGGGGGCTAACTAGCTTGTATTATATAAAAGATTTAATTTGGTAGCTAATTAATTTACTTCGTGTCTTCTCCAGTTGCTTTCACGGCCCTGATCGACGTCTTGGCCGCGAAGGGAAAAAAGCTTGTGGCACGTGCGGCCGCACATTCGGGAACCGTATTTTGTTAAAACGACACTTAGAAAATGGGAGGTATTCAATTAATTAAATTATATCCTAATTTTGCGGGCAAATAATTTATTTAGTGTCTTCCTAAAGTTGCGTCAAACGCCTGGAGAAAAGAGGAAGGAAACCAATTTGTGATAAGTGTGGACGCACATTTACTCAACATTTTTCGTTAAAACGACACTTAGAAAATGACAGGTATTTACATACACGGAAAAATTTCACTAATTAATTTTGTGGATGAGTATGAGTATTTAATTTGATTGTGTGCCTTCAGTTGTTTCAAAGGCCCAGCTAGAGGTCCTGGAGCCGCGAAGAAAAAGTGTGACACGTGCGGGCTCTCATTTACACAAAGCGGTTCGCTAAAACGACACTTGGAAAATGATAAGTACGAAATTAATTAGATGATTAATTGTGTAAAATATGAAAAAGAAGGTGACATCAGCTTTGTCTATTTGTGTTTATAGTTGCTTCAAAGGCCCAAGTCGCGCAGTAAGGAAAGCTTGTGGCAAGTGTGGACTAGCGTTTGCTCAGAGTCGTTCGTTAAAATTTCACCTAGAAAAGGATTGGTAATTAGCTTAATTTCGTAGATTTTTAATTTATTAAAATAATTCCCATATACTTAACCCATTAGCTTGTAACACAGACAATTGTCGTTTTATAAGAAATAGTTTAATTCGGGAGAAAGACAAAAGTCGTCCTGAAAAATCGTGGCCATGGTGCAGAGGAAAGACAATTGTCGTTTCTGGAAGGTCCTTGATTTTCACCATTTTCTCTCCGCGGCTTAAAATCTGTTGGAATTTTAAGGAATTTCTCCCCTGCCAAGCAAACGTTAAATTTTAACATTTTCTTACCGAAAATTTGGATATTTCCAAATCTAATGCAATGTTAAATTTGTGACATTTCATTTTTTTCGAGCTTTATCAAAACTCGTGAATTCCTACTCTTGCACCATGATCACAAAATACTTATAACCTTCCGGAATTCATACACTTTCCTGTAGTGAATGATACTCGTTAAGGGTTAATGAATGATGTACATACATACGCGAAAAGGCAAGACTGCCAGAAATCTGGTAATTGACGGAAAATTTGCTACAGGTTTGTATTAAAATTTTGCCCGTCTATAAAAATTTGACACCTAGACGGTACAACGTTTATATCGAAATGCTACTACACGGTATTACTTATCTTCGAGAGTCAAAAGTTATAAATACATACACCGCTTAGTATTAGTTAATACTGAATTTGCATATTTAGTTAGTAATCCTTGCGTCCACGGTAACTCGTCGAACGGTAGAATCTTCAAGTCCACTTTTGTACGTTTTTCCTAATTTTTCTTACTCGTGTTTCAGCAAAATTCTGGACCAGGATGGATCACAAGAGGACGATATTGCCGCGGTCGTCGTTAAGGATGAAGAGATCATCCAAGCGGAAGTACAAAATTGGTCAGAATTATTTGGGCTGAATGGTGGCGACTTTGAGGAAGTGGTGGATGTATATGATGGTGGAGATTAAAATTTGTATTAAGGGGTCTCAAACTACATGGTTACAAAAAATTAGATATGTAACGAAAAACAAATAAAACTGTGTTTTAATCCACCATCTTATGACGTATTTTGCTGATCTTTGTATGTCATTTTATTCAGAACATATTGACGCGAACATAGGTATTAGATAACTAGCATTAACAACAAATAAAACTAATTAGACAATGTAAAACCTGCACCATTGGTGCATAATTGCCAAAAAATTATGTATCTATTTTGTTGCATTTTTCTGCACCTTTGGGGCAAGTTATAACCAAATCATTATTACAGGGTGAGCTACTTCTAACGTTACTACGGTTTATTTTTATTTTGATATATATTTATATGTAATACTGACCCAACTCCGGAGTTGGCACTCCTAATCGGAACGGACGTAAGTATGATAACCGATAAACATGCAAATATGTATGTGTAACGAGCTGGTTTTCACAAATAGGCTAATCAAGTGGTCTATCCTCGCATCTCTAATTACACCTGCTCAAACAGCATTGATGTATTAGCATTCTTATGATAATTAAAGAAGATTTTTTATATGTTTAGTTTTAGGTTGAGCTACATAATATAAATATACATACATAAGCTAGGCACATAATATAAATGTGTTGTGGTATATTTTCGTTAGTCTAACAGACACGTGTATAAATATATTTTTCTGTGACTGCAACTAACTAATGGCAACTATGTACATAAAAAAATAGTGCCCAAAGGATGTTCTTATCTGATAAGTACACTCTAAGAAAACCGGTAACTAAGTTATTACCAGGCGGAGTATCTATGTGACTCTACTGCATGGTAAATAATTTATTATTGAGTGGTAGAAAATTAGTTACCAACTGGTAATAATTTCAAATTTCGCGACCGGGGTTATTATCGGTTTGGTAACAAAATGTCTACCACTCAATAATAAATTAATTACCATGCGGTAGAGTCACATAGATACTCCGCCTGGTAATAACTTAGTTACCTGGTTTCTTAGAGTGTAGATATCACGAGTGAAAGCTGTCATGCATGCATAATTATGCATCCACCCATCCCACAGTGCCATTCATTACTTGGGATTAGAGAGTTGGAGATTTTTTGTACTTTTACTTGTACTGTACTGTGACTACAGTACAATACAAAAATTAGTACAAAAATCAAAAGACCTGGAGAATTTCATTATTTTGTACTCTGAAAAAATTGTATTGTAAAACTCCGCGAAATAGATGAGTCAAAAATTGAGACAAATCAACTCATGATATACAAAATGAGAATCCCTCCAACATGTGCGTTTAAAACGATCAAACCAAAAAGTCGAAATTTTTTACCCTTGACCTCGATTAAAACGGTCACCAGGCTGATATAAGCCGAAATGATAGTAATTTCTGAACTCCTCGCTTCAAAGTGAACTACGTCTGCAACGGTTGAAATAAAATATTAACATTTTTGACCTTTGACCTCGTGAACATGGTCACGGGGTCTTCATACGTTAAAGCTATGAAGATTTCTTAAATTCTCGCCTTAATACACGTCTAAAACAGTCGACACTTAAATTGCGACCTTTGACCTCGTCCTTTCGGTCATTGGTTGGTCGTAGGTCAAAAGTATTGACGACTATAAATTCTTGGTGAAATTTCCTTTAAAATGATACCGCATATGAAAATTAAGGTACAATTTTGCGTTTACTTCACGCCAGGGTGACCTTAACCTTGACCACAGGGAGCCCATCTTCGAACTCGACCTAGGGTCAAAAATTAGAAGCAAAATGGCGAAAACGGCGTCTGATTACATTGAGGCGTTCTAGAGATATCCTAGTTGCCAACCCTTGATTTTTCCACAGTAGTACAAATTGAGCCCGTGTTTCAATTTGTCTACTGTAGACTGTAGAATTAGTACAAAAAGCTGATGACGTCATCATCTAGAGTCCACAGTACAGTCTACAGTCAGAGTACAAGGAATCTCCAACTCTCTATTAATGACCATAAAAATAATCTAATCACCAAAGTCATAAATGAATATTTATGTATATAAATGAATTCGCTGTGAGTGGCATGAGCTTGTTTGAATTGAAATTTAAAGAAAATATGTATATAACTACCCACATGGATTTCCCCAGGTCTTAAAACGTATTATATAGACTTCTCTCACACAGGTTGCACATTACTTAGTTGAGATTTTATACCTGTCCATCCAACAATTAATCCAAAATGGGTAAACAATTGAAAAACGTTTTGCTAATTGTCGCATCCATATTTATAGTGATTTTCATTATTCCACTGATCTTTTTTTTCGTCATATTCCCTCTAATTTTATACCGGAAATTGATCATATTTCTGGCCTCGTATAAAACCGACATTTATCTCCCTCTCAACATCTGCAGCAGTGGGATAGCGTGGGACGACATGTACAGAAAACCGTCCTGTGGCGCTATTATCGTAAATTATTTAAAGCATGGGCACGAAATAAATCAAGTAATTCGCAGGCTGGAAAGTGTTGTACAAATTGTACGTCAACATGAGTAAACAAGCGTATAAGCCCGTCACCCACCGGGCGTAAATTATAGGCTGGAAATGTCTGTTGACAACGGAAGTGAAAGCAAATGTTCCGCGGAGGAAGTGACAGTATAGAAAATCATGTTTTAATATTTAACAGATTTTGAATATTCTAAATATGTTGAACATTTACATATCTCATATTTGCTGGTGTTTATCTGGGAGTAGATAACCACCGTTAAACAACCATCCCAAGATAACCACATATAATCAGACTTTTATTTTTATTTTTAATTTCATTTTTAAATTCGCGCTATTCTAAACTTGACTTTCTTTACTTTCACTCCCATTGTGGAGCACTCCCGTTGCCGACAGACATTTGTAGCTTATAATATAGATTAGTTTTATCACAATTTTCGTTTTTCAGCATCCCGAACTGACATGCACGCTATACTCTTGGATGTCAATCCTATTTTGGAAGAAATCCCCAAATTTCCAACTCTCCCAACACCTCACAATTTATGAAGAATCTAACCCCGAAAAAATCCAGCACTATTTGGATTGTCTGCCGGATAAACCGTTCTCAAAAGGCGAACCGTTATGGGAATTCATATCCTTGCCAAATTATTCACACAGTAAATATCACACAAAATCTGCCCTAGTTTTCCGACTTCATCACTCCATAGCCGACGGTTTGGCAGTGCTTTCATTGTACAACGATATTTTTGACAAGAATGGTTCCGGAAAGGAGATAATTTTAAGAAATGGTGAAACCCAAAAAAATTCGAAATCTCCAAAATTGGATATTTGGAAACTTTTCGAATTGGTATTCATAATTCCGACGGAAGTAATATTCCATACACTGAAAGGTATTGACTCGAATCCTCTCACAACTCAAGGGGCGACTGGGGAAATGGTCCGGTGTCAAAATCTCGTCGCCCTCGATATGGCGGACCTTAAACGGATTTCCCGCGCTGCTCGGACAAATATCACGTCCATCATGTTTTCCGGCGTGACCGGCGCGGTGCGGAGAATTTTGAAGGAAAGAGGGGCAAATTTGGGGCAAGATGCGACATCAATTTATATTCTGCCCAATCCTTTCAGTCAACCAGGAACTTCTTTGACGAATACTTTGTATGGAAAAATATTCAAGAAGGTTTTTGTTTTTAAAATAAATTTGCGCTCACTAAATATTACGAATTTAGATAAACCTTGCCTATTTAATTTTGAAATAGTTTTCCAATGTCCTCCCATACTTTTCATGTTGCCTCCCTCCGAAATTATAAAATACCAACCATTTTAGACTTAATAATTAATTTTGTTTGTTGCAATTGTAATTTTTAAAATTGCATATTCTTTCTCCAAGCAATTTATAAGTTAACAAATTACTATAATTATGTATGTATGAAACACATATCGTCGCACTTTTGGCTTCTTTGTAAATAGTTGGATTCTTCCACCGCATTGGTTCTGGGCAGAGGTCAACGCCGCCGATTACACGCCGACAGACGCCGGTAGTATTTTATGCGCCGCCGCCGCCGATAAATCTTATTTCATATTCCTACAACATTCTGGCGCCGCGCCGCGCCGCCACGCCGCCGAAAAATCTTCCAAAATTGGCGCCGCCGCCGCAAAATGATCTCCCCTCAAAGGACCGATTAATTTCCCACCAACCCTCGTATTTTATGCTGAATATCATCGTTTATTCCGGGGTTTCTATTTTTGTCTCTGACTGGGAAACAGCCCACACGTGTTGCCAATCTGATTCTCACTCAACCATACCACGACATCCGGTGATATATGGGGTAAGCATTAATAGTAGATTACCTTTCAACATGCAAAACTCCTGGCGTGAGGGGCTCTCCTTGTAATTTTTACATTATGTCATAATGGAGGAATAATTAAATTATTTACTACCCTGAATAAGCCAGCGCTTCACTTCGCATGTTTAGGCAACACGTATTCGTAGTTTTCCCTCAAGGTGAGATAAGAATAATAAAATAATATTTTTTATGTATTAAATACATTAAATAATAGGACGGTGGACTATAAAAAGAAAATATTCTGAGCAATCATATTATTGCCAGACCTGATTTACTCAGACCAACAAGCAATTTTGTTAAGTAGCCAAACCCAAGGAGAATAATTTTTGAAATACTGCAAAGAATACTTTTAAGTACCATACTTAAACTCGCTGTTCGCAAAAGGACACCAAATATGTCTCCGGATATAGAGGTACCAGGGAAGACGCTGAACGAACCCATTGCAATTGTCGGGGTAGCATTTCGCTTACCTGGCGCGAGCGATGGGGTAACTTTGTGGAAAAATCTGATGAGCGCAACCGACTCGGTGGACTTTGTCCCACGCGACAGGTGGACAAGTGAAAAAGGGTGTCACGGACTCACAAAGGAACACCGCTCTTTCAGAGCTGGCTTCATCGACGGGGACGTGGACAAATTTGACGCAACCTTTTGGGGATTGTCGCCACTGGAGTTGGGGTTTATTGATCCGCAGGCACGACTTCTGCTGCAATTGAGCTGGGAGGTGAGTAATTGTTTCGGGTGGTAATCGCGTAAATATGTAGGAGCGTAAGGGATTTAATATCAGTCGTGCGGAAATGTTTTAACCAAATATTATATCAATAAATCAATGAGTATAATTGTTCAAACTTACGGCCGCAACCCATATAGCTGCATCAAATTATTTACAAACTTAGATATGTAAATGTATAATTGAGTACAGTAGTCGGAGGAACCGTAGGAAAATGTAGCTGTAAATAGTGGAGAGCTTGGAAACCTCTGGGAATGTTTGAGGAATGTATTGAGGACGATGAGAAGGAAACTCATTGCATTTTTAAAAAGTCGATTAATCCAAGAATGAGAAAAAAAAGAGGCGAGCTGGCCGGAATCGAACCGGCAACCTTCGTTATGATCACTAATCGGTTACCACTTTCCCCACAAAGCCCTGTGAATGGCTGATGCTTATTTTTAAAAACGGGAGGGATATTTATCCTCTTAACCCCGTTTCAAAGCATCGAATCGTAAATTTGGAAAGGAGAACCGCTGATGGGAATGTAAACATTTAACTTTTGAAAAGTGCGGTAATGAGTGACTCATATTTAGGAAAATGAGAGTACCTTTTCTAACTTATTGAATATTTGAGAAGCCAATTTTTATAAAAAAAATAAGCCTTAGCCAGTCACAGGGCTTTGTAGGGAAAGTGGTAACCGATTAGTGATCAGAACGAAAGGTTGCCCGTTCGATTAAGACCGGCTCGTAACTTTTTTCTTATTATTGGTTTAATTGGTTTTTCAAAAAGTCAATGAGTTTCCTTCTCATCTTCCTCAATGGTGCATTAATGCAAAGTTATAGAAATTTTATCGTTATCGTGTACGCTACGAGCTCATACTTCGTTATTACAGGGTGAGCTACTTCTAACTTTACTACGTTTATTAATTGCTGACCTATGTTAGCTCCATCTAGATATTAATAAGTTTCACCTAACAAAAGTATATTTTCATAAAACTTGGCTCACTTAGATCTATATGAGTATTATCAAATTCGTGGTTCTCAAATATTTTGTAATGTGTGTATTTATATTTTATTCAGGCTCTGGAGAGTGCTGGAATTACGCCTGGGTCGCTTCGTGGGACCTCCGCTGCTGTGCTTATGGGGATATGGAGAGATGAATACAAAGACCTTGTAGTCTCATCGAGCTCAGTAATTGGTGGTGAGGAGCTGCGCCGTTATATGGGATGTTCAATTGGCAGCTCTGCGTCAAGGATTGCTCAATGCTTCGGAATGACTGGTCCAACCGAGGGAATTGAACTGGGATGTGCTTCATCGTCGTATGCAATCGGTGCCGCGATGCGACATTTGCGCAACCGGAGAACAAACTTGGCGCTTGCTGGTGGAGCAAATCTTATTCTTAAACCGTGCAAGACTGATGATTTTCAGGTACAATTACATGTAGTCTGATTTAAGTAATTAATATTGCAGATGAGCCTAGAGACGAGATTAGAAGCACATAAGTGGTTAACGGAACCGCTTGAATTTGGGGGATATAGCGGTTCTGGTTTTGTATTTGGATATTAAGTAGGGTTCCGCTGATCAGGTTTTATGTTTTATTACCAGAGTTTGGTCGAGTAATTTAGGTTTTCAATTCAGTCGAATAGTACTAGGGTAAAGTTAATATTCAGGTATTTGCTACACACCCGGTTAAAATTTTTAAGGTTAAGATTGAATATAAAAATTACTTGTCACTATACATACAAAACATGTTATCTCGGATAAACGGGTTCAAGGTGGTGGGTATGGCGGGTTTTGCGTTAGCTGGAAAGGTTTTGTTGGGTTCTGATTTTTTTAAATTAAATCGGGTGTAGATTGATGTGGATTGGAAGGGTTATGTTCCATTTTTATGAAACAGACCAGGGTGGGTTTTCAGGAAATAAAGTCTTAAGACCTCATATTATCCGTTCGATATCGAAGACCTGATAGTATTACCTTAGGCGGATAAATGAGGCGACTTACGTTATTAGTAAATTCGAAGTTTGAATATTGTAGGGGGTGGTATCACCTACAAGCCGGAGTAAGGTATTTCAGGAGGATGCTGATGGTTTTGCGAGGGCGGAAGGTGGGATTGTCTATGTCCTCAAGCGAGTTACGGATGCGATCAAAGACGGGGATAACATTCTTGGGCTAATCAGGGGCTTCGGATCTTCACAAGATGGTCTTACCCGAAATTTTGGTACACCAACTATTGGGGGCGAAAGGGAAGCTATGCTGGTTGCGCTTGAGGATGCAGAGGTTAATCCGGAGGATATTGGCTGGGTGGAAATGCACGGAACCGGCACACGAGTGGGCGACCCAACGGAGGTGGCTGCAACCCGAATAGCTTATCAAATATCGTCCGGCGAAAGAGGGCACCCACTAACCGTTACCTCCATCAAGGCCAATATTGGCCATACTGAAGGCGTATCGGGGGCTGCAAGTCTGCTGAAAGTCCTGTTGGCCATGAAACACGGATTCATCCCACCTCAGCTTCTAACCGCCGACCTCAACCATGGAATTGACTTTAACGGATTGGTAATACCAAGGACAGCAGTGCACTGGGATGGACCATTAGCCGGAATATCATCGTTTGGAATCACTGGAACGAACACTCACATGATCGTGGAGCGTGCTCAACCCATGGCTATACCAGCAAAAAATTTGTCATTAGACAAACGTGCAGAACTCTATATACTCCCGTTCTCAGCTTAGTCTGTGGGCGCGCTTGCAGAATTGGGACGAAAACATGTCGAGGCTTTGAAATTGCTGGAGTTGGAAGGTAATTTTGATATATATTGAATTTATAGTTTCGAAATATAATTCAAGCGGGATCATTCTAGACTCAATTTTTTTATTAAAATTCTTTGTAATAATAGAGACGCTGCAAAACCCTCAAACCGATTGAAAACTAAAAAATTCAATATGCTTGTTTTCTAAGTATCACCCCTTGGTGAATAGCCCTTGTGTGATTCGTAGTATAAAAAACATGCACAATGATAACTATCCCATTTTCAGCTAAGTTGGCAACTGAGCTTAAAACCACAAAAAGTCGCACCGGGTACTCGGCCGAGTTTTAAGGTTTCTGCACGAAGCGAACTCGGCTAACTATTAGGACACTTTAATGTACTTCTTTTACAGTAATCGTCATATTCCCATGTTGATAATACCTATACAGTGCTGCTTTAACTATCCAGCATGCTAATTTTTGGTATTTAAATTTTCACCGGCCCGACCAGGGAGTTTTTTTTAAATTCCAATGGAACTTATGTTTTCAATTAAGGCAGATATTTTACTTTAAGGTAACTCAAATAAATGGTGTCTAAGTTATTTTTAAGTCAAAAATGTACCTTAATTGAACATATAAGTTCCATTGTAATTTTAAAAAACTCACTGGTCGGGCCAAGCACTCGGTACAGCCGAGTACTCGAACGGCGGAGTACTCGGTGCAACCCTAAACAAAAGTATAGTGTTGAAATTTTGCCCATAAAACAAAATTATTAAGGCCTTTAGAAAATTCCTCACATTTTTTAATGCAGATCTAAATATTCAGATTTTAATGTTAATTCAAATAATTATCCTGCATGGGATTTATAGTTTTCCGAATTGTTACATACCTAGGTAATCTTGAAAATTAATTCTTCACTGGTTTTCATAGATGGTGACGACCAATTAGCAGCATATTGCTACACAGCATCAACTTGTCGGCACCATTTTGATGAATATCGATCAATTGCAACTGGACGCAACCTTTTCGAGCTCCTGAAATCTCTTCGATCGAACAATTACGAATTAAACAACATGACTAATTTTCAACACAATACCATACGCATTAAACCCACTCGGCCGACTTCCATATCTTTTCTATTTCCCGGCCAAGGCTGTCAATATATCGGAATGGGATTAGAGTTGTACAACTCGTGCGCAACATACCGTCGCCACTTCGACGAAGTAAACTCACATTTCATTGATATCGGCGGCATCGACCTTTTGGAATGGATTAGGGATGGCAAGGACATTCCGTTTTATCCGCAACTGAGCATATTTGCAGTGGAGTACGCACTTCTCAATATGTGGAAGGAGTGGGGTGTAACGCCCAACTTGTGTGTTGTTGGCCACTCATCTGGAGAAGTGATGGCCGCAATGGCTGTAGGGGTCCTAAATTTAGCTACGGCAGTCCGCTTACTCGTGTTTACGCGACAAACTCTGATAAATGAAGTTGAGCCAGGGCAAATGGTCGCCCTAATGACTGACGAAGCAATGACACTACAAATGATCAATCAGTATGCTGAGAGATGTTTCATGGAAAATAAATCTGAGAGCTCTTGGATTGATATTTCGGCGCTAAATTCATACAACCAGACTGTCGTGTCGGGTCCGGTAGAAACAAGTAAAAAATTTTCAACCTTCGTCATCACATATTATAGCACCAAAACCTCTCTCCTTAAATTCGTTGATAACGCTTTCCACTCACGATCGTTTGGGAAAGCTTCGAACACATTTGAAACGAATTTGGAGAAATTAGATTTTCCTGAGCGCAACCGTGGCGTTAAATATATTTCATCGATGTACAGACGGGAATTGGATGATTCAGAAAACTTGGACATTTCATACTGGTCAAAATTATTTACAAAACCTGTTAAATTTGTTGGTTCAGCTGCCGCGGCTACAACTTCCGTGGGTGCCAAACTGTTTCTTGAAATTAGCCCGCATCCCACCCTCGCCCCTCTGATGAAAGACAACTGCCCTCAGAATGACCTCATTTGCATTCCGTCCCTAATGAAAGATGCTGAGAATTGGATCACCTTGTTAAACGCAATTAGTACTTTGTACCTTCATCGAGTCGAGCTGGACTGGTCACGAATTTGGATCAGTTTGTTTGGCGAAGACATTTTACGAAACAAAGTGTCGCATCTTCTACCTACATATCCATTCCAAAATGAAGGTCCCTTTTGGTTTAGCCCTCTAACCACTTTAAGCCAGGATTCAGAAGTAGTGCACAGAAATAAAATCATTCACCCGCTACTCGGGTCAATGCCAGCCGTTCCCAAATTTGACGAAATAAATCGAATAACAATCTTTGAAACATCGTCAGACGGCATTCTGATGAGAGCTGGAAGCTGGCTACGAGACCACTACCTGGGATCCTGCAATATTTTTCCAGCCCCGGATATGTGGAAATGGGATTTGCGGTTGCAACTCTGCTTGGCAAAACAGAGAAGTTTAACAATATCAAGTTGTCCAAAGTAGAAATCAAAACGGTTCTTTCCTTGGATGTGAAGTCGGACATTCAGACTAATGTGGTTTACGATGGCGAAGGGTTTAATATCTCCATATCAAGCCGCGGGGACCATACAGAGGGTATGTGGACGTTGCACGCTTCTTTAAATGCCAAAGTCATTACACCTGATGTATACACGATCAAGCCAGAAAAACATCTGGGCAACTTTACAGGGGAGTCATTGCCATCCCCTTACCCCGAGTTATCAGACTTAGGATATAAATTTTGTGCAGGATTCAAGTCCCTTCTAAATTTAGAAACGTGCATAATTTCCTGAAACAGGAGTCTCAGAGCAGGTGTAGTCACACCCATATTTGACACGGATGGATTTGGAAGCTTTATGGTTCATCCGATCATACTGGATGCCCTACTACAGATAACACTACTCGCACAACAAGATTCACTAACAACCTTGAGGGTTCCAGTTGCAATCTCAGAATTCGAATTAGTTTGTAGTGCTTCCGGTAATATTGGCAAGAATACTTGTGCCAGGCAGATCCGTGCTCAGGCCGGAATTAATTCGTCCACGTTGTTTATTCAAGGAGCTGATCTAAAGTGGCGAACCCTAGCATCCATGACCAATTTGAGAACGATCAGCACGACCACGAAGGCCGTTAGACGAACAATTGAGGGAAGTAATGAAATGAGCGACCGTAAGGACCATGACCAACTTTTACCTCTATTTGTCGAAGAGTGGGTAAAAGATGATCAACTAGTTAATTATAGCCAATCAATATGTGAACAGTTTTCTTCATGTAAGACCATCTCTCGACCAGCTGCAGAAATTCAAGACTATAAGCTAATTTCGTCGTACATCGGGAAATGCGTTGCCGAAACTCTCAACTTATTGGGATTTTCCGATTTCACGCATAACCAGCTCATAACACGATGCGACATTGCTCTTCATCTCGGCCTAAGTCACCTTGCTCCAAATTTTCTGGCAAGGCTGCTTAAATATGCGGGCCAGGCAGGCCTGTTGAAGGAATACTCCCTAACAGAGTACATCGTATTGCCTTACTCCGATTGTTTAACGCATAATTTATTGGCAACTAACTATGATAAACATTTACCAGAGGACTGGGCTTTCGTAGAATTTTACACATCTAAACTGACCAGCTTTCTCAGTGGAACCGAGTCAATTCTACCCTACCTATTCCCGCCATCATTACCCTCCTTGGAACCACCAAATCAAATTGTTTCTAATGAAACATCCGTAAACACTAATTTTTCGGCTGAAAGGTTTTACAGCGCTACAATAGCTTCCTACCTAACCGAAGACTTTATTGTGGTATTTACTTCTTTCTTGAAAGACAACGGTCAGCGATTGCGTATTCTGGAAGTCGGAGCAGGTACAGGCTCCGCGACTCGTGAACTGCTGCATCATCTTCGCGACTCTTCATCTACTTACACCTTCACCGATATTTCAATTAACTTCCTCAATCGAGCCGAAGCTTCTTTGCCGCATGTCCCTGGGGTTCAAATGGACTTTCGTGTCTAGGATTTGGAAAAAGATGCTCTGGTTCAAGTATTCGAGAATGAGACCTTCAACGTAATTATTGCCAATAACGTCCTTCATGCCACCACTGACATAAACAGAGTGGTTGAAAATCTTCGATTGCTGCTTAGCCCTAAGGGCAATATTTTCATCGCCGAACAGCTTCACCCCTCTGCATTTGTTCATATCATCTTCGGCCATTGTAAGGGTTATTGGCTTTTCAACGACGGCATCCGGTCAGATCACTGTTTAATCGACGGAGACGCCTGGAAGTTAGTGCTTCAGTCTGTTGGTTATGGGGAAGTATCAATTGTGGAAAATAAAGATTTTCATTTTGGAATAATTATCGCTACAAACAAAGAAGACGTCTCACCACCACCATCTTTCATTGTCATTGCTTCCAGTGACCAGGATCAGTTTGCGAACCAGCTTGTAGCTTCGAATAAAGAATATGCGACATTGTACAATATTAGTGAAGCAAACATTGTAATACATCCCGAAAATAAGATTGTATATTGCTTCCCACAAGTACTCAAGGATAATATTCCTGCTTTGAATCAAGTTCGAAAGCAGTTAGAACACTTCCTCCGTTTTTCTCGGGCGTTGGTATCGGTTGGCAGGGTTGAACTTATCCTCGTAAGCCATGGTCTCATTCCTGTGGGGGATACAGAAGCCCGTTATCCTGTTGCTGGTGCAATCCGTGGTTTTTCGAGAACTCTGGCAAATGAAATGCTAGAGTTGGACATCACATGGGTGGACCTTGATGACGATGAATCTACAATGCAACAGATACAAGAAGTAGTTGCGGAAATAAGAAATAAAGGAACATTACGAAATCGGGACAGCGACCCATTTGTAACAGTCAGTTTTGAATATAATTGTTTGCATTGAACTCAATTCTATCAAAAACCATATTAATTGCATTGTTAAATTATATAGGTACTTTTTTAGGGTTCATTTTAGGTATGCAAAGTGATTTAACGCTGTGGTACATTTGGGGGTCAATTTTCAGACCCAGATTTCGAAATTTCAAAATGGAGTAAATTGAAACTTTGTTCGGCTTGAATTCTAGGTTTACAATCGTTTACAACATTTTTAATTCGCTCAGCAGTTTTATGTATATGGGCAAATTAGCTACTGTGCCTATACAAAATTATAACCCTCTGTATAATTTACCATCCCATACATACTATTTCTTAACTTAATTTTGCAATTTTTTCATGCAGTTCCCATCCTGTTCATAAAGTTTCTCACATCAATGATAACCCGCTTGCGCGGTCGCATTATTAATTTAACTCATCAATAAGGACACAATTTGACACAAAGTATCCAAAGACGCACTCACATACATAGATACATACATATTAATACACACATATACGTAGGTGTTTTATTATTGATTTTCAAACGATATGTTCCGCACTGTTTGTGACCAAACTTTTGATGAAATAACAAACTTCAAATACATTTAAGAGGCTGTGATTTTTTTCAGCTCTGTGAGTTAACATAAACACTAGCAATAAATCAGCAAACTTTACCTCGACGGAAAAAATGTCATATTTGCAAATTAAATACCCTAGTGTGATTTAATTTTTAATGCTGGAGGGGCAATCCGTGTCGCAGATTTATGATTGTATGTTTAATGTTTACGATGAAAACTGCCAAGCACAAAGCACAATATAAATTGGGTCAATAACTTCAAATGATGGCGAAAAGAGGTCTCGGACAAAAAGTCGCCAGGACGCTCAAAATCCGTTTCCTCCACAGGAAACCTTCAGAAACTAGAGAACCAATAATGAGAGATCCACGATTGAAACTGTCCAATTTAGCTGATGAGATGGGTGTTCAAAAACCAGCAATTTGTTCCATGTTAACTGAAGACTTGGGTATGAAAATGGTTTCCGCCCATAGGGTACTAAATTGTACTCTCCATCCCAAAAACTGGATCGAGTCGACTTTTGTAATGAAGATTTTGACCTTTTAGATGAAAACTGGAACCTGATTTATACTTCAGTAGTTGGATATGATACTTGGGTTTACTACTGTGATAATGAGACCAAACTATAATCTATGCAATGGAAACACAGGGGGTCACCGCCGCCCGTGAACGCAAAAGTGCAAAAATCTACCAAAAAATGGAAGATGACAATTTTCTGTGAAACCTAAGGTACCCTCCCTATAAAATTTATTACCTGAAATACTACGATAAATGTGGCATCATATGCAGAAAGCCCGAAGGAGCTGCATGCTACGGTTGAAAAGAAACGTGGGGTCAAAGAAAAGAGTTGGGTGCATCTTTGACACGACAACGCGTCACCAAATACCTCGCTGGTTTCGAGGGATGCTGCAGACGAAAATCGCTTCACCGTCATAAACCACCTCCCGTACAGTCCAGATTGGACCCTTACTGATTATTATTCGTTTCGAAAGTTGGACACAAACATCAAGGGGAAAGATGTTAAGGTGATAATGAAATCAAATCGTAAATTTTTGAGTATTTTCGAGGTAAATTTTACTGATTTACTGCTAGTGTTAATGTTAACCTACGGAACCGAAAAAAATCACAGCCTCCTAAATGTATTTGAAGTATGTTATTTCGTGAAAAGTGTGGTCAGAAACAGTGCGGAACATACCTTTTGAAAATCAATAATAAAACACCCACGTAAATACGCATCATTTTATGATATGCTCATGTCCATAAAATTTATTTTTATATGAAAACAAGTTTCATCAGAGCATTTCTCTAGTATGCAAAACAATGGTAATTACATGAAAATCCGACTCACAACTTTTTCCACTACAAGAAAAAAAACATTTTTGACCTACAAATTACGGAGCATCCATCGGTTACACTGGCTTTCGAATTTTTGAGTCTATCTGAAAATTATCAACGCGACCATTAAGTTTTTTTTGAAATCGGTGACAATGACGTAAAATCTGAACCCAACTTTAATAACGGCATCGTTGTGGCACAAAAAGACAGAATTAGTAGTACATGCGGATTAATTTAATGACTGGATTACTTTATGCGAACCCGAAATGCTCCACTTTTGTCGGTCGACACTAAAAACAGCAACTTTGTCCCTGTCATAAACCTGTCTTATAGTTCCACTTGAATCATAGACAAGTTTGTCATTTGTTGCTTGACCTCTGCTTGAGTAACGTGTCTGCACGTATTTATACACGTAACGAAATAGTGCAAGGTAAAAAAATTGCACACTTTTTACTAAAACATTCCACCCTTCAAGTGCGAGGTATTGCGTTGAATTAGTATTATTATTTATCATTGTGGTCAATATTTTAAATTTTAATCAGGTTAATTTATGTGTAAATAAATGGTAGGAATTCTATTCAAACTTAGTAGCATATTTTAATAAATTGATAGCAAGTGTGTCTAAAACTCAAAAATCATACTTCTTTATACTCACGCTTGGTCGTCGATCTCAATAAAAACGTAATCAATTCATCAAGCAGTTTTTTGAGTAAGAAATGACACCTTGGAGTCAGGTATGTATGTATGTATGAGGTTAATATTTTGTAAATATCTGAGGGGTTAATGTATGTATATATGTACTGAAAAGTTTTTTTAATACTCAGGTTTTAAAATTATTCGTCCTCGCGACCACAATTCACACATCAATTGCAATTGTCAATTTCACGAGGGAGAGATTGCGAAAATCTGGACCTGCCAAATTTCATAGTCCTCAGACAAATGTCTTTCTTCACTTAAATCAAATTCTTTACGGCAACAAAAAAATCGCCAGGTGAGTATTTATGTATTGACCCCTGAAAAATATGTAAAATTTTTCGATTATTTTTTATTATGTTTATTAAGGAGGCTGGGGCATCGGGCGGTGTCAAAAAATTGAAAAATAATCTTAAAACCAAATCCTGCCGGCCGTTCCCCTTCAATATTTATGATGGATGGTAAAAAATAAATAAATAAGTAAAATCTTACCTGTTTAGCCTACACACAATTTAGAAATTTTCCGTTTTAGCAATCCCCAAACTACCGGGTAGTCTGGTGAAAATGAGGAAACGTCCACAAAGGGTAGCTATGTTGGGAGGTTCGCCGAAATGAAAGCTCAATTAACGGTAGGGTTGCCGCGGGTAACGGGTCGGGTACCCGTTACCCGCATACCCGCACGATTTTTGCGGGTACCCGTTATCTGCGGGTAGCTGGAACTACCCGCACGGGTAACGGGTAATTCAGTTTTAATTTTATTTTATTCATAACTCGGCTTAAATAGAAAGTTACCAGCTCATCAGATCGTTTACCAACAAGTGCATCAATTTCCTATTTATTCGCATCAAAATTTGGCATTTGCCAGCAACAAGCGTTTATTACAAATGTATCTTTTCAGAAACTGGACATGTCTACGACATGTACGATATGTACATATACATATCAAGAAATCAAGCCATAAATTACAACACATGGTGCATATCTTTCCTGAATGACCTCTTTAAAGAAAAATTTTGGGGGAAATGTCGCATGAGCGCCTTGGTATTCTATCTATGGAGGAAATAACGAGAAAATTCACTATAAAATTGAAATTTGCTCCCAATATTTCTTCAAAGGGCCATTCAACGGAAAGATAGATACATAGATATGTAGGTGTGAGTTAATTCCTAATGTTTGGCTCGATTTTTAATACAACTCGTTGGGAAATTCCAGTGTAACATGAAAAAATGTTTCATTTTAATTCCGGGAAATGCGTCTGGGCCTTCTGACGTGTGCAAACGGTGCACTTGGATATTTGGTGTCGAATCGTATCCTTCATTCTGATGATCCAAAACCGACGTTGGAGGATGGACATGAGCAGTTGAGGCGCTGCGTGGAAATTCTGAAGATGACACTGTCCAACCAGCATCTCGGTGAATTTGCTGTGACTTGGGAGGAGGATGGGATGTTTCTTATCAACAGGGAGCTCAGAATTACGGACACGACCACCTACTCTCAAGATTCCGTCCGAATCTAAGAATGGTGAGAGGGAGAGAACCCTGCTTTTTGGAGGAACAGGCTTCCCAGAATTGATTGAGTTGATTTCCTTTGCGAAATGTTGTTGTTGAATTATTTTGACCCAGTAAAGTTGTGCATGGACGATCATCCCAACCTTGTTGCAGTTTCCACAAAGACTGCATGGGAATCTTTGCAGAGATGATGATGGGGGCGAGCCAGCCAATAGGGTCGAACAACCGGGCGATTTCCGAGAGGACAATTCGCTTTGATAATGGCTTGGTTGTGGGAATCTGGGGGCTGATTTGGAAGAGGAATTGGTCAGTTTTCGGATTCCAACAGATACCCAGGGTCTTGATTGATGAATCTTGATCGAATGAGAGAAGGGACTGAGTTTCTCTCATCTCAGGAGGGACTGCGTCGAGAACAGCTTGGGAATTTGATGACCACTTGCGGAGGCACAGTGATCCATCATTCATGAGTTCGAGTAATTGGTGTTGAGTTTCAAGGGCTTGTTTGACATCAGGTTCTCCAGACATGAGGTCATCCATATAGAAATCTCGGATAATGACTTCCGATGCGATGGGAAACTTGCGCTGATTCCTAATTCCAAGCTCCTTGAGAGTACGAGTTGCCAGGTATGGTGCTCCTGCTGTACCACAGGTCACTGTACGAAGACGAAAATTTTTGATTGGTTTGGATGGGTCATCTCGCCAAAGTATTCTTTGCAGGTCGGTGTCCTTTGGGGAAACGAGGATCTGCCTGTACATCTTCTCGATGTCAGCAGTGATGGCGACCTTGTGAAGCCGGAAACGGATGAGGATGTCCACGAGTGAATCCTGGATTGTAGGACCCACCAACATTTCTTCATTTAAGGATTTGCCATTTGATTTCTTTGCGGACGCATCAAATACAACGCGGAACTTGGTGGTGGAGCTGGACTCCTTGATAATGAATTGATGAGGGATGTAGCATGTTGATCCTGAGTCGGAATCCACTGGTTGGACTTCCTCCATGTGACCGAGATCTTCATACTCTTGCATGAATTTGTTGTACTCCTTGCGAGCACTTGGGTTGGCCTGAAGTCTTCTCTCCAGGAAATGAAGCCTCTTCATCGCAATGTTGAGGGAGGAACCGAGTGAGGGACGAGGGTTCTTGAACGGGAGTTGGACTTGGAATCTTCCGAGGGAATTCCGGGTAACAGTGGACATGAAATGCGATTACACTGCTTTCTCCTCTTGAGTGGAGAGTCGTGTAGTTGGCTCACTTTCAACTTCCCAGAATTTGCGAAGTGTAGCGTCGAGGTGCTCGTCGAGATCACTGGCTGATGATGACGAAGTTGTAGATGGGGTACTGGGCGTAGAGACGGTGGTGTGTGCTGTGGGCTTAATGTCGTAGAGTGGAACTGCTGAACCACCACCAACAAGCCAACCGAAACTGGTTTTGACAGCAACGGGACTGTTGGGGGGACCGCTTCGTTTTCCACTTTCCAGAATTGCGAAGAAGAATTCTGCTCCCAACAGCATGTCGACGTCCTGGGGAATGTTGTAGTTGGGGTCGGCCAATTGCAGCCCCTGAAGATGAGACCACGCGTTGTGGTTGAACGTTGACGATGGTATTTTGCCAGTGATCTTTGGTGTGACGAGACACCTGGAAATAGGAAAGGAAATTGATGTGTCGAAATGTGAGCTTACTGTGAATTGAGTAATTCCTGTGGCGTTGACGAGAGATGCACCTCCCAAACCAGTTGCGGACGTGATGCACCTCCTTTTCACGGCTCCGATCCTTCTGATGCAGGACTCGGTGACGTAATTGGCGTTGCTTCCATTGTCGACGAGCGCACGAAAGGTGTGAAACTGACCACTCTTGTCAGCCACCTTGATGAGAACTGTTCCCAGCAGAGTATCGTACTCGTTTGAGGCTGGTGTCGAATCTTGACTTGTGAAATGAACGAATGAGGGCGAGTTCACATCTCCATCTCTGTTGTTGGCTTGAGGCAACTTGTGAAGGAGGGTGTGGTGCCTGCCACCACACGTCTTGCAAACCTTGGTGGACTTGCAATCTTGAACTCTATGATTTTCCTGGAGACAGTTGAAGCACAAATTGCTCTTCTGCGCGAAATCCGATCGCTGCTGGACGGATCCTCCAAGGAACTTGTCACATCGATAAAGGTAATGAACGCCTTGATCACATACCTTGCACTTTGATCAGGATGATGATGATTGAGATGAGTTTTGGGCGAAATGAACTTGAGGACTGGATTGATTCCGACTCACTTTTCCATTTGATGGGTTGCTACCTTTTGCAGACTTTTTGAATTGATTGCTGGGTGTGGTCTCGGTACCACTAGCAGCGAGGGCACGAGCGCGTTGCTCGAGGAACTCAAAGAGGGACTAGAGCTTGGGAATAGAACTGTCTTTGAGGCTCTGCTCCCACAATTCTTTTGATGAAGAATCCAATTTCGCAAGGATGATGAACATGAGGATTGCGTCCCATTGGTCGGTAGGGAGCTTGAGAACATCCAATGATCGGATACACTCATGTGACACATCGACGAGTTTGCGAAGTGATGATGATGAATGAGATTGTGCAATTGGTTGATTGAGGAACCGACGTAAAATTGCAAACAGTTGTTCCCTATCGTTCTGGTAACGATCGTGGAGCTGATTCCAGGCAATGTCGTAGTTTCCGTCCGTGATGACCATGCTGGAAATTTGTCGGGATGCTTCTCCTTTTAGCTGCGACTTCAGGTAGGTGAGTTTCTGCGATTTGCTGAGGAATTTGTTGTCGTGGGCTGCACTGATAAACAAATCACGAAAAGAAACCCAGTCATTCAGAGTTCCGTCAAAAGTGGGGAGTTCGAGGCGTGGAAGTTTGATGTCACATGGGGATGATGATGAATGACTTGCTGTAAAAGTACTGCTTGTGGGAAAACTCATCTTGATGCCTGAGAATGCAGAAAGGAGTCGAATTGTCTTACCAAGGAGTCGTTGATACTCCGCAAGGTGAGGTATCATATCTGGTGGGGAACACGCTTGGATTCTCTTATGTACGTCCATGATGTCAATTTGCGATGCCTTGGCCATGTTGAAGAGATATGTAGCAGAAGCTTCGCTGAGGGGGGTTGTTGCATGATCCCTAAGTTCTTCTTCCAAGTAGTCCAGAGTGTCGCTGTTGCTTGTACGATCGTGGACGGCTCTGTCTAAGAGTGATGGTGCCATGATGTTAAGTATTCACACTTGCACACTTACGGATGTCGAATCCGGTTTTGAGAGACCAAAAAATGATGGGGATGACGGTTCCCACCGAGTTATGTTTTTTGTGTGGGTGAATTTAGTGGGTGTGGCACTTGGTGGAAATGTGGGTGGATATGTAAAACTGTAGGCTGCACAATAAATGTAATTGGAAGAGGACACTTGGCTGCAGTTGAAGTCAATATATTTCACATTAGGAAAATTGAGACGAATTATAATTGTGTTGGTCAGAAAGATAACGAATTGGAGTCAAAATAGATAAAATTACATTGAATGAGAGAGGCTCAAGACTGACAAGAAATCACATAAGAGAATCACCCGAGAATGGGTATTGCACCCTTATTTATAGTTTTAGTGAATGAGGAAAAAGGTGCATGAAAATTAGTGTACATAAATAGACTTCGTGGAAACATGTTACAAAACTTGGTTCATGGAAAGAAAAAAGGTTCACTTAATTGTTAAATTAACCTTAACTAAAATTGTTGTGCGTCAGCAAGTTAAATGCATTAAGATAATAGAATGTTGAACTTCAATTGATAATTTTACAAAATCACAAACTGAACAGGGTCAATATGATGGTTTTTTCTTGTGGTGCGTATTTGAAGTTGATATTTTCGGATTCGTCATACTTTTTTATGTATGTCCTGATTTTTGCACGGCCACACCTCTCTCCCTTGAAATTTAATCAAGCCTTCTTCGAGTCTTTGTCGCTCAGATTTCGGTACTTACAAAAAACTCGGTTCCCGACTTTCTCGCTTTGAAGTTGCGTACGAAATTTGTTTTTCAAGGAAATCTTATGAAATTTTGAGGGTACGGGGTTGAATATATTTGCAATATTATACGAAAAAATAAGATCCCTGAAACCATTGTTTACCACCCTGCTACTAATTTGAAACTCATCAACAATTCCCGGGGCGACCCCTCTATCTTTACCCGCGACAAATTTCCTTTTAACGCGGGTATTTATGTATGGACTTCAAGCCCGAAATACGTACATATTTAGCTGCGTAATCATCGGCTCTCGGAGAAATTCAACCCCTAGCGTGATTGTAAGCCTTTTAATTTACATTTGCATGTACATAATTATAATTTCCTTAAAACTAAAGAAGTAACTTGTTTATGCGAACATGTTTACATATATTTATAAGACTTGAATTCCAACTAGAGCACATAATTGCAGGTTATTAGCAATATTGTATGCAAAACTCATTAATCGATAAAATTGAGTTTTTGCCCAATATTACCTACATATATGCGTATTTAAATACGCAGATGCATGAGTTTCGAAAGCCAGAATGTCTACATACAAATTGTTTGTTAACTATGTCCTGTCTTGCTTCGTTTTTTTACACGAAACCGTAGAATTTTGCAAAGCCTACTAGACACAAGATTACTTATGCGGGCAGTTTATCGAAGTCTTAAATAGTCTGGGGAATTTTTGTTATTTCCAACTGAACCATTCTCCAGTAGCAATGAGCTCATATTTGTATAACATCAAAGAAACGAGTGAATAACAATAAACCAAGTTGTGATTTACAATCTAAAATATTTGTGAACCCGGACATTACATCAGATTTTGTTCAACATGTAAAGTTAAAAAGGAAATTTTCGTATTTAATCCCAAATGACACCATAACAAATTGTAAACAATGGATTCAAGAGCATGATGTCGTCATCAAAAATGCAGATAAAAATGCCGGTATATGTATACTTTTGAAACAAGATTATGAAAATGAAATATTAAGGCACCTAAATGATGAATCTACATACACCCCGTCAACCGCAGCCCATTACACGAAAAGCAGAGATGATTTTGAGGACCTTGTAAAGTGTCTAAAAATTCAATTTGATAACGGTACCCAACTTCAACATTTAATAATTCAAAACGACCAACCTTGTAAGTTCTATATATTGCCTAAAGTACATAAAACCTTTGTCAGAATACCACCTGGTAGGCCCATTACAAGTACATGTAATGCATTTAACAGAAATATTAGTGGATTAGTCGACTTAATTTTACAACCAATAATGAATTTAATTCCATCATTAATTCTTGACACTCGACATTTTTTACTATTATTAAATAACCTTACACTGCCTAAAAATAGAAACTTAGTATTACTTACCTATGACATTGAAAGTATGTATACAAATCTTGATGTAAACCTATGTAAAAAACATTGCCTAAATAAGTATCTGAAATTTAAAGGTAAATTATCGGTACCGTATAAATTTTCCTCGTATCAATTTCAAAAACTTATGAGTTTATGCTTGGATTACAATTTTATTAAATTTAAAAATCTGTATTTTAAACAAACTAAAGGGATCGCGATGGGAAATGCAACATCGGTGAGCGTGGCAAATATTACTGCGGAGTGTGAATTGTCTCCACTATTTGATAATTGTGAATATATATTTTTCCATGCTAGATTTGTAGATGATGGTTTCATGATTATTGATTCCACTGATATTGCTGATTTCAACGTATGGTGCATGAATATTTTTTCACATAGTAATCTTAAATTTACACTAAACCATAGTACAACCGATATTTGCTTTTTAGATGTTAATGTAAGTTTATCAAACAATAAGCTTTCTACAACTTTATATAAGAAACCAATGTCACGCCCATTATATGCTCACTATTTTTCTAATTTACCTAAACAACTTCTGAATTCATTACCGTATAGTCAAGGATTACGAATTATAAAAATTTGTTTCGAAATTGAGGACAGAGAAACGGAGATTGAAATCATGCTGAATACATTTCATAATCGTTGTTATCCTAATGATTGTATAGATAATACGCGACAAAGATTAGCTCAAATGTCAAGACTAGATTTATTAACTAAGTGTAAAAATTTAATTATAGATAATTTAAAATTACACCACCCAGAAATTCTTTGTAATATGAAGGTCAAAACTGAAACTCATGATTCCATTTTACATAGATCGTATGTTGTAATGCCATATTACAAATCTTTACCAACTCTAAATAGTCTCACCATTGAGTTTATTATGAAAGAAAGTGATCGTATATATACACACATGTTGCATACGCTCAATGTTAAAGTAAGTTACAGAAAGATAAACTCACTTACGAGGCAACTATGTAATAATATTTAGTATGTAATATGTATATGTACATATCATCACCGAGGACGCCAACTTCTGCCCAACAAACTACTCCGTCTTTTTACTTTGACACAATCACATGGATTTTTAGTCTTTCCAATTCTAAATAAATACTACTAAATATATTTTTATAAATATTTTTAAGAAAAACTCCCTGTTTCAGGTAAATTTTATTGTATTTGGTAGCGACGTATTATTATTATTACTATTATACATTTTTGCATTTAATTCATATATTTTTAGGGATGAACTTGAACTATTTTATATAGTAGAGATCTTCATTTATTAAATTTACCACTTTGTAAAGGTATCAAGTCATTATATATACATTTTACAATAATTTTACAATAAGTCTACAATAATGTAATCACAATTTTTTGCCATTTTTCACATATGTATGTATGCAGCCTGATGAAAGATTATGAAACCGGTCGCTACTGCAAAATTACTTCAATAAACAAATCTTTCCATTAGTTTGAAGTGCTTTAATTCATTCAAAAAAAAAAAACTAACCAAATCAAATTGAGGATAGTGATTAACTACCGAAGTACAGTGATTAACGCGATTAAGATCGAAGTATTTGTTCCTTTTGGTTTAGCTTTGGTCCAATATTAACACAATTATTGAGTTAATATTGGATGGTGTCACAATATCGCAGAAATTTCATGAACTAGACATGTACATACATACTTAAGTGCTTTAGTAGATGTGTATGTGTGTATGTGTGTAGATACATATGTCGTGCTACAAAAGTATGCTGCTCAGCATACTTTTGTAGCACGACATATGTATATGGGTGGATTTGACACCTAAGGATTTTAACAACCGAAAAAAAACGAAGAAGATTTTCTCGTTATACACGGATATATGTAGCAATCACGGATATATGTAAGACACTCGATAGTTATTCCTTTAAATCCTGAAGTTAATATGAAGCTTTTAAAATGCCTCGTGCCACTCCTGGTAGTCATGATCTACCCAACATATGGCGGGGATGAACACTCCTCTCGCAGTTTTGGTCACTTTGGCCCCTGCGTATTGAAACTTTTGCGGCTGAGCAATAACCATGAACACGTCGACCTAACCGAGCACCTCATTCGCGACAACGATCCGACCAGCCTAATCTACATGGTCAATGGAGGACCTAATATATCCAACGAATTAACCAATGAAAAGAAGAGTGCACTTGACTTTAAATTCTATGAGATCTGCACGGTCACAATTTTCGTTAAATTCGGCTTAGAGGACAACCAATTTCGCAGCGAGTATTTGGCTTACACGAGGGACGCACATCGAAGCCGGGAACACTCTGTATTTATCCTAATTTCGCAACAACCCCCAGAACAAGTTGTACGATTTCTGTATAACTTTGAATACCGCGTGCCGTACAGAATGTTTGCCGTTCACATAAAGAGAAATATTGATTTCTCAAATCCATCTCCACTACCAAAACTGGAATGATATTTTGTCTGCCCTTTCTGCACAAACGTGTTTATTCCAGTAAACTATAACCAGGAGGTTAAAACACTAACGGTAGTGAAGTTCCAAAAACACGGGTGGCGAAAAGATATCTCAATCTCGGCCATATTACAAGACAATTTCGAGCCAAACAATCTATGTGGCAAAGGGCAGTACTACATTGCGCCGCTTAGGCAGGTTTGTGGAATTGCGGAAAGACAATATTTAATGCTTGGTGACATTTTAAACATTACGTTTGTCGTAACTCCTGTTCCATTGTGGGTAAACCACAAATGGGGTTATTTTCACCAAAGTTTACATTTTGTGGAGTACGCTTATTTTCAAGTTAGTATGCTGCACTCATTCCGGTATGAGGGGTATCACGGGTTATACTGTAATTTCAATGTTTGGTCGGAAAATTCGGATTTCGTCGTATGGGTGTCACCCCTTGCCCCAGAGGTGTGGCTTGGTTGTGCCATTATGCTAGGGGTTTTAGTGCTCATTACAATTTTGAGGAATTTCTTCAAAACTAAAAACGTTTCGATTAATTTGGACTTGGTGAAAAATACTAAAGAAATGGTTTTTGAATTTTATGCGACGTTTGTTGGGCAAGCAAAGGGTAGTAAGACCCTGCCGGTGTTTGTCTATGCATCGCTTCTGTTCACAAGCTTTATGCTCATTGCTCAGTACGACTTATATTTGACGGCTAATCTAGTTGCGCCGCCACTGCACGAAAAATTTCGTACCTTGAGTGAGTTTTTTGCCAATGACTACATCCTTGTATATAACTCGGAGGAGGTCGACGGCTTAATTTCGACCCGGTCCAGATTACAGAAGGAGTTTGCGCGGAAGTCACTGGGCGACTTTCCCTACACTCTAAATAAAATCATTACCAAATCATTACCAAAATGCACACGTATATGACTCTGCAGAAACGGTAATAATAACCACCAGCTGGTAAAGAAATTGATTGAACCCGAAGTGGTAATAAAGAACACTTTTTGGGATAAAATTAATACCATGATGTATGACAGATGTACTACAAAATGTAGTACAATGTCTACCACTTGGTAATAAACCATACCACTTTGTACATAGTGTGCTATTCCTACCGGTATTAATGCTTTTTATTATGTATACCCCATTATTACCAAATGTTCTGCAGATTTCCACCGAAAATAATAGATTTTTTGCTTTTCTTTACAATAATCTTTTAATCAATTATATTTGTTATAAAATCATTTTGAAACATACATAATTATAAAATTTGAGTATAATGAAAACTATTGAGTTACATAAATACATACATATTTACATATTTATTCTTCTGTTCCCCCTTCAAATTCCGATAAATCATCGATTTTGGATGAGTCCACATCGGTGGACGTCACCAAATAAAATGTTCTGCAGATTAAAAATTCACAATTTTTAGAAATTCTCAATCACGAGCACATTTAAATAATTCGTGAATTTTCACTCACCCGACCCTCCACTGACTTAGAACATCTCAATGAAGGTAGTAGCTTAATTATTGCGGCTGCGTGTTTCTGAATGTTTAAGTGTTTCTGATCGGAGGTTGTAAGAGAAAGTTTGAAATTTAATTGATCAAATTAAATATATATTTAAATATTAAGAATGCTTTAATGACTCACCCTTTCACCTCTATTAACTTTGCTACAAATTCATAACTAAAGTTATCGACGACGTTTTATCGACGCAGTTTTTCTCATTGCACTCTGCAACCAAACGGAAACTTTTGACGCTCTCAGTCACTGCAGCGTTTACAATCTTCAAAATTTAAAATTGATTTTATGTATTTATTTTCGGATAGCTAAAAATACCGTTAACTGATTATAACCTGAGTGAAAATATCAAAATCATTGGAAATTTGGGTTCTTCTGAAATCATTATTGGACATCGGCGACTCATCAGGATGTGTAACTAAAAATATACGATATGTTGCAGACTAAGAATAATTTAAGTTTAATAAATTACTCACCGTAAATTATTGATGAAACCTTCGTCGTCGATCTCCTCCCCCTAGTCGTCTTGCAGAAAAATCTCCGTTCCGATTTCCAACTCAAATTTTTGCTTCACTGAAAAAATAAACTTAAGATTGTTATTTACATACTAGTTCCTATTAAGATGGTGCAGTGCAAAATGTAGGTGCCCAATCAAGATCACCATCTTGATTGGGTACCTACATTTGATAATTTGATACTTACCTGTTTCCAAAAATTCTATATAATTTCCAGAAGTTTTTGTCAGTTTTTTCCGTCGGGCAGAATTGGTTTCGGCATGTTGACTTGAGTTGAGCGGAAACTAAAACCGAAAAACGCGCCACTGTGTAGCGTCTCACAATTCATACCAAATGTATTAAAATTCTTACCTCTATGGTAATAAACTACACCAAAATGTAGATCTCATCAGCACCACAACTTGTAGCGCACGTGATTAAAATTATGGTAAAGAGTGTTTTCTAAATTTGAAGGATATAATTACCGGCTCGTAGGGATTTATTACCAAAATTATAATGATGGCTTAAAATATTGCGGTGGAAGGCTAGTTACCCGTTTGGTATTGATACGGTAATAACCCCGTATAATTTTTGTAGCACGCGTAATTACCAAGAGCTCGGTAAAGACGCTTATTAGGAATTCTTTACCAAGTTGCTAAGAGTGTACCTGTTTCCAAAAATTCCATATAATTTCCAGAAGTATTTATCACTTTTTTCCCACGGGTAGAATTGGACACATGTTGACTTGATTTGAGCTGAGCGGAAACTAAAACTGCCCAGTGCGCTACTGTTTAGCGTCTCAAAATTAACACCAAATGTATTAAAATTCTTACCCCCATGGTAATAAACTACACCAAAATGTAGATCTCATCAGCACCACAATGGAAATAATTTGTACTACATTTTATTAAAATCATGGTAACGAGTGTTATCTAAATTTGTAGGATATAATTACCGGCCCGTGGAAACTTATTACCAAAATTATAAAGACAACTTGAAACATCGCGGTGGAAGGCTAGTTACCCGTTTGGTATTGATACGGTAATAACCCCGTATAATTTTTGTAGCACGCGTAATTACCAAGAGCTCGGTAAAGACGCTTATTAGGAATTCTTTACCAAGTTGCTAAGAGTGCAACTCGAGTCTCGCAAAAATTCTTTACCCGAATCGGGATCAGCAAGATATGCTGATCCTCTTCGTAATTTTAGAGTATTACGGCCATATGCAGGTATGGCTATCTATAAACAATTATTAATTGCTGACTAGAAGGATGGGATTTTGTCTAATTAACTGCATATGTAGTAATCATACGCAAGGCGCTATTTATGCAAATTAATTTGATACTTAATAAAAAAAATCGCCGATTAAATTGGCCTTGGATTCGCCTTGGACCAAGCATAAAATGTATTATATACATATAAATATAAATTAACTAAAGGAAATTAAAAGTAGAAGAGTAGTAATTAAAATAATTGGGTATTTGAAAAATCCAATTTATTACGAGACTACAGGAAATGAAATATGTAAAAACAAAACCATTAGTAACAGGGTTCCTGATATCAAAAGTATTTTTTATGTGGCACTAATTTTCTAATAAGTTTCAAACGATTATTTAAGCTAAAAAGTCCACCAGCAAATGGGTAAAATTTTGCAATATAAATTTAGCTTATTTTCAATAAAAGTACTCCATTTCAGCATAAAAAAACACTGTCATTCGCACGCTGTGAACCAAAAAACTAACCGGCATTACCGGATCCCTGCAATATTGGCAAATGCTTGTCTTTAGCCAAGTATCAACTTTTGTTGTCAAGCTTTGGCTTGACACCATAAAAGCTCTGCTGCATTCAGTTGCATACGTGACAGAAAAGAGTTTATTTTACTAGATTGTCAGGTCAAAATACCTGTCATTAAATTAATTACATCCTGAACTACCCAGAAAAATACTTCAGCAAAAATTTTATCCCCTAACTAATATAAATTATGGCGAAGATAATTTAC